AGATAGATAGATAGATAGATAGATAGATAGATAGATAGCTGGTGAGTTAGCTCAACGGCAGAAGTGCCTGCTTTGCAAGTGCAAGGTCTGAGACCCGGCTTAAAAAACAAGTTCTGCTTTCTATACAAAGGTATCAAATTCTATCAGAAACAACTCAAAATCTCTGTCCTTCGGGAACATTCAAGGCCCTATGCCTGCAGATGTGTTTCATAAGAAGCCATTTAAACCAAGCCCAAGAAGCACTGCTGAACACTCTGGCATCTCCGTTCCTGTTACTCCACAGGCAGCGCCACCCTAATCCCAGATCTGTTCTCAGAAATGCAGTAAGAAAGCTCTGCGGGGACCCAGGGGAGCTGGTTAAAGTGCATTGGCTCCCCTCCAGGGTGGAGAACAACGGAATACTCTGCGTGAAAAGCTGTTTTCCTTTTCTTTCTCTCTCCTCTCTTCCGGAAGGGGAGGAGAGTGTTTCTATCTTCCTTCATTGTGTACCAAATCCCTATGGACCACAAATAAATCCCTGAAAGTACACACATTAATGTTAATACAGTCAGATAGGAACAGTTAAACAGGACAAAAGTGAAAGAAAGAAAGAAAAAAAGAAGTCAAGTGTGGTGTGACACCTGTAATCCCAGTTACTTGGTAAATTGAAGAGGGAGACACAAATTCAAAGCCAGTCTGGGAAATTTACTCTGTGGTTGTTGCTACTGTTGTTTGTTTGTTTGTTTTGAGACAGGATCTCGCTGTGTAATTCAGGCTGGCCTTGGATTCACTGTGTAGCTTATGCTGGTCTCGAACTCACAGTGATCCTCCTGCCTCAGCCTCCTGAGTGTCATGATTACAGGTGTGCATTATTACTATACCCAGTTCAGTCTGAGCAATTTAGCAAGACCACAGATAGATAGACAGACAGATAGATAGACAGACAGACATGCTTGGGCGTGCAGTTCAGTGGTACTGCCCCTGGATTCAGTCTTTAGTACTTAGCAAAAAAAAAAAAAAAAGAAAGAAAGAAAGCAAAGAAACCTAAGGGATTCCTGCCTCAGCTAACAGAAGGATGGGCTTAGCTCACAGAGCTTGTCTGGCTACGAAGCACTCTGTCTGCCAGGGGTGATCAGCAGACAGCACTCCACAGATGGTGTGTAAGAACTTGGGACGGGCAGCAGCTCTGAGGAATAGCTGGGGGTGGGGAGGTCTTGCATTCTACTGTACCATACCAAATCCACGCCCAAAAATCTCACTGTCAAAAGATAAGCAGTGAGCACACAGAGTCCCCGGCTGCCCTTCCAACAGGGACTACCTGTGTGTAGCCTGCGGGTGAGAACAGCCAGGGTCCCCGAACCACCTGGACCAGGGACTGCCCAGCATACCTGCTGTCCACAGAAGCCTCGGGGATAATATTTTCTTCCAACCAGGAATGCAGAAGCAGGAGACACGGTAGAGCTCCTGGCCCGCAGTCAAAAGGCCTCACGTCAGAGGAGAACTCTGCCCTTGGCCGCGAGACAACCGACTGGGCCTCGGACAGCCAAACATCTCCCCTGCGCAGCTCTTCCGAGCCTAGAATTCTCGAATCTATGTCACCAAATGTTTCTGATGGAGACAATGACAATTTTCTCTTTATAGCAACCCACATGCCCCAGGAACCTTCTCTGGTCATAACTTCCCAACAGGCTTATATTTAGTTCAGAGACGTCTACATTTAACACAAACAAGACACATACAGCGGGAGGTTTTTTTTGTTGTTGTTGTTGTTGTTTTTAATTAAAATTTTCTACACAGTGTTCCTTCTCATAATTCTTTTTTCTGAATTTTTTTTCCAGTGCTAGGTGTGAAACCCAGAGCCTAGCATGTGCTAGGCAAGCTCTCTGCCTGCCTCCTTAAATGATTGTTTAAATATAAATGGGCACACGCAAGAGCACCGCCTACCAACACTCTGATGGAGACTGTAGCTCAGCTTTATTTTGCCTCCTTTTAACATTTCAAGAGTTAAAACAAGGCTGGAGAAAGAGTAGACGGCATACTACCTAGAACAACTCAGAGGCCTCTGATTTTTTAGTTAATTGATAGTGCTGACTTTATCTGTTTTCAAGAAATGATTCTCCTTTTCCAGTATTAAATGCTAGTGACAGGCAAAGAGCAGAGTAAGGAAAAGCAAATAATGGCCTCTACCAGGGCTCTCCCTGCCGCTGAGCCATTAACTAGTGTGGCCTGGGGCACGTCACATGCTGAAGGTGGATAATAACACCCTGGTTCTGCAGCTCCCCACTGTGGGGTGGGGAAGTGGTGCCAGGCCAGGGACAGAGAACAGACACTGACTCTTCAGAACACAGGCATTTGCTTCCTTTGCAAAAACTCAGGCAATGGTGCTACTAATTAACTGTGAAGGTTAAAAAGAACAAGTTCCAGAAGTTCCAGCAGGTTGAATCGGGTCCAGTGTGAATCAAGGGGTGAAGCAAAAGGGTGGAAGATGCTGAAGTTGCTCCCCAGTTTTCAGTGTTAAGGTCAGGGGAACACAGGGCAAAAGCGGAAGATGGAGAGTGTGGGGCTGGTGTTCCGACTCCAGGGGCCTAACATCTGGCAAGCTGGGCCTACTTCCCTTATGTCTCAACTGATTGGGTTCCTCTGAATTCTTCTGGGGTTGAAATCTCTGATCTCAGTTATCTCCTTTGCCTTTCTCACAAAGTAGACAAGAACTTCAGAAAATGACCTCGCTCAAACTGAATCATGCTTATGTTCATCCAAATGAATTACACATTAAATGATTTATAATTACACATTATCCTACAGGTGGAGTCTGATTTCAGGGGCCAATTAAGAAAGGGCCTCCACCTGTATCATTCACATGTGATTACCTCACTGGGTACTTGTGCATAGTTTAAAGGGGGGGGGGCATTTCTGCTCTACTTGCGTGTTTAAGAAAGTCTCAGAAGAGAAACACCCAGGATAAAGACACTTCGTTAGTAGATGAGAAGATTCTAGAACTGGTTCTTTTCCTGACTATTTCTCACACTTTTTGTGTATTGAACGCAGTCCCAACATTGTCCCTAAACTCCCAACTTTTACCCACGAGGGAGAGACACAGTAGCCGTTTTCCCATCCCATCTGAACTGCCCCTTCTCCGTGCCCACTAGCGGGGAGATCGCCAGCTTTTCTGGAAAGACTGCAGTCCACCCGGTCCGCTCATTTGCCTTCCTCTCTCTCCACAGAGCTGAGCGCCACTTCTCCATTCACAAGGTGGGATGCCCCCGCTAGCTCTGCCCCCCACAGGGATTCAGCCTCCCAGACCCTGCTCAGATGCTGCCACCGCTCAGATGCCAACCAAGCCCAAAGCTCGATGGGCCCCTCTGTGCCAGTGTCCCTGAGAAACCATTTGCAAACTCCGGGCTACTCGGATCCTGCCTTCATTGTCCTGGGGTCTTTCCTTAAGGCCCATTCCAGATGCCTCACCAAGACAGCCCCCCTACGCCCAGCCTGGGTCCAGGCTAAAAAGAACCGCTCTTTTCACAAACACTATCCAATAGACTCAATGCGCTGTATTTAAATACAAATGTGGTCTGGGTCGCCGATTTCTTTCGCGACCACACCACACCACACCGCTGAGTTTCAGATCGCCCTACTGGCTGCGCGCTCCCTCGCGATCTCTGCACAGACGCGGGGAGATCGAGAAATCGCCACAAAGGTGAGGAAAAAGCAGAAGGAGGAGAGGGAAGGGAAGCCCGGGCAGAGCCCTCACGGAGTCCCCGTTTCCCGGCCGCCGCCAGACCCAGAGAGCCAGCCCCGGGCAGCGCGCAGGCCGAGCGCCCTCCCAACCACCCCTCCCGTCCACGGCGGCCCCGGACCTGGGGCGCCCTCCTGCGGCCGCCCGCACCCCCGCCGCTCGCCCGGGGCTCCGGGCGGACCACTTGCCCGGCGGCGGAAGAACGCGAGGCGCGCAAAGTTTCCGAGCCAGGAGGTTGGCCGGATGAGCCAGGTCCAGCGACCTCGAAGAGCGGGGATAACGGGAGGGGCGCGCACGGACCCCCTAAGGCTCCGGGGGTTCCCGCTGCGGGGCTTCCGGACGCCCAGAGCGCAGGGCTTCTCCCCGCGCACCCACCATAGCGGAGGGCGGCAGAAAGGGCGCCCCGGGTACCCCAGCCACGCGCGCCGAGGCTCTCGGGTCTCTGTACCCCGGTTTTGAACTGGAGGGAGGGGCGCGGCGGCTCCCTTTGGCGCATGGTGATCCCGGGCGATCCGGTTTCCGGGGGCCTCCAGAGAGCCCACTTGGGTCCACCGCCCCGCCCGCCGCCGGCATCCCCGCAGGGGTGACAAGTGAAAAGGAACCCCCGCCTCAGACCCCTGCTCCGGCAGCCCTGGGGTTCGAGGTGCTGCGCCCGCAGGGAAGCGATCGGCCGGGAGGCGGCGGCGGGCCCCGCAGAGGGCGAGGCCGGGCGCGGCGCCTACCTCGTCCACGGTGAGCGGCATGCAGATCCGGTACTCCTTCAGCAGCATGGTCCGGCCGGCCACGGAGCCAGGGGCGGGAATCGGGGAGGGGGCGCCCCCGGATCGACGCGGCTGCCTCCGGGCGCAGAACAAGTCTCTGGAGCCGGAGCGGCCGGGGTGCTGCGCTCAGCTCCTGGCTTCCTCGGGTTCTGCCGGGAGCATGTCAGGGCTGGGGTCCCGCTGTGGGGCTCCCGCTCCTTCCTCGCCAAGGTTGGTCCTCCCGGAGCGCGGCGCTGCAAAGTCAGGGAGCGAGGAGGGCACTGCTGGCGACGGCTTGCTCGGCTGTGCCGCGGGCTCGGGACCTGCCCAGCCTCCGGCGAGGGGCAGGGGTCCGCAGATGACACCAGTGCACCGAAGTCACCTGCGCGGTCCGCCTCCCGGGGCAGGGCTGAGCGCCGCGACGCCCCTAGCCCTGCCGGTCCGCCCCGGACTAATGTCACCAGGAGCTCATTGCAGCCTCGGCCGGCGATGCCGACTTTCCAGACAAAGGCGCCTCTCCGCGGGCGGCAACCAGATTTCCTGCGCTTTTTAGGGCCGGTCCCCAAGCGCACCCAGGCTCGGCCGGGAGAGGAAAGGGAAGAGAAGGGACGCGGCCGCCGCGGCCGCCCGGCTCTAGCCTCCGGGGCCCGGAGTTCCGACCTCGGCCCGCGGCCGCCAGCTTCCTCCCGCCGCCTCCGCGCGTCCCCGCCCCC